TTTTTTTTGCAATTGGAAAAAAATTCTAGACACAATGGTAAAAAAATTTATCACATCTATTGACAATATCCGTGCAAAATAAAGCAAAGGAATGGTATTCTGTATGTTAATTTTAATTTTATTATTATTATTATTATTGGCAATTGGCAATTGGAACAAATTTTAAACCCAATGGTAAAAAAAGTTATCATTTTAATAGACAATTTTCATAAAAAATGAAGGCAAATGGATATCAAACTTTCAACATTTTTCAGGTGGAAAATTATACTAATCGAATACAATTAATTACAATTCTCAGTTAAATAAATTTTAGGCAATTGAATTTCCTGTAATTTATTTTCTTTCCACCAAAATTTCATATTTGCAATCAAACGGACTCTAAGAAATAGATGTAATAGGTTCATTAAGAGTAAAATTTAATTTCTAATTATTATCTTAGACATAGTACCATTGACATTAATTTAATAATTTTGTCAAAACATTACCTCGATTTTTGTGTTGTTTTTCATTATTGTCCTCATTTTGAAGGCATTGACATTTCAATGAGTCTCACTATCATTCTACAGGATTTGGCATCCAATGTCATGTCTTCTACCCATTTGTATTATACAGTGGATTGGGGTACCTTGAAACGTCACTCTTTGGCCAACTAACATAACAGGAATAGAATTAGACCACACACTTATTACTCATATACAAGAAATTTGATTGGAAAATTTTCCTTTTCTAGTTTCTATGAAAATGTACCATTTAACTTTTATATGGAACAAACACATTTTGAATTAAAGACAAATATGGCTTTTGAAAGCTGTATTCCCTGATGTATTGTGTATTGTGAACCAACTTCTTAAAGGAATTCCTGAAATTTCTGGTTGATTGTGTCATTTTCCAACCTATTTTTAGTGAATATTATTTAAGTGAAGCTGCCCACTATATACCCATTTTAACTTATATTTTCTAATTGTCGCGCACTTCTCAGAAAGAAAACAGCAATATAGTGTGCAACGTAAAATACGATGTGACCAAATTTAAACATGCTCATAGAGTCGATCGACAATTGTTACTAAAATACTCTTCGACTTTGGGCTATTACAGTACAAGAACTTGGCTACTCCTCTTAAGTTGATTATTTAAGAACTAAATAACTTCTAGACAAATCATGAATAGTACATATTTTATCTATCATAGTATTTTTGACAAAATAAAATTCGGGATGATTTTTTAATAGAAAAATTTACTAGTGACAGATCACTACAAATCATTGAAAATGAGAAAAGGGAAAGCAATCTAAATTATGGACATTATTTTCCCTCGTTACAAATCGTTGAAAAGAATAAATAAAATAAAAATAGAAAAACAAAAAAGTTAAGAGTATTTTGTCATTGATAACACTACATGTAAGACAATACTTTTATCCAATTACATACAAGTCTACGGAATACCAAAGGAACATTCAATCCTCACGTGGGGTGTGGTCACATGTTCTTTTATATTTTCGTTTGCCCTTGTGTCTTTATATTGTATTCGAGAATTCTGTTCTTTTTTATTTTTTCCCCTTTTTTTTTTTTTGTGCTAAATATAAAAGACTACACTTGGAACAAAAAAAAAGAGAGAGAAAATGAGGCAGAACACCCGGCGCCCCTATTCAATATTTTGTCACTGGTGCCGCAACGCAACCTGTGTTTGTTTCGATTTTTCTCTTTTTTCTCTCCTTTTTTGTTATGGACTCCATTTTTTGGGATCCTACTTCATCAACAATTCTACAATGAGGGTTTGGACATTCCCTACATGTTCCCTATATATATTAGGCTCTTCTATACAATTTTATGATGTGAGAATAGTGTGAAAAAGTGATTACTATCTTTTAGAATTATGTAATATTTCTCCATTTTCATTATTTGTGGTGCAATAAAATCTCATAATTCCTTTACAATGTTTTCTTGTCTTCTTTTATTCTTTTATTTGTGATACTTCGTTATTGTGCCATATGATTTCAACATCTCAATCTGGTGGTTGGTTTTATATCAAGTGGTATCGATCGATACGTGATCCTTGAATTTCAACAAGTGGCATCAGAGATTCTGGGCATAATTAACACAACAAGTGGTATTAGAGCCGAAGTTCAGTAGTTCCGCAAAAGCATAGTGTTTGATTTGTTCGAGGTTTTCTCAAAACACTAAATTTTCGTTATGGCAGGTTAAGATACGTGCAGTACTCACACAACAGAATTTGGATGATGCGTTGTTGGGAATTGATAAGATGCCTGCAACTTTGACTGGGAAGAAGAAATTATGAAAGGATAAGAAGGCATTTCTCACATTCATCTTTATCTATCGAATATCTTTCTTCAGGACGAATGAGGGTTTAACAACTTCTTTATGGTTGAAGTTGGAACAATTGTGCATGACTAAAAGTCTGACAAGCAAGTTGAACCTCAAGGAACACTTATACTCTAATCAAATGGCACAAAGAGGATCATTGGAAGATCAACTAGCTGTATTTAAAGAGATCATCGCCGATTTGGAAACTTTTGCATGACTAAAAGTCTGATAAGCAAGTTGCATCTTAAGCAGTATTTATACTCTCATCAAATAATAGAAGGAGGATCATTGGAAGATCACCTAACTGTATTTAAAGAGATCGTCACTGATTTGAAATCTTTGAAAGTAAAGTATGATGAAGAAGATTTGGCATTGATTCTATTGTATTCATTTCCCGTTTCATTTTCTTCATTTAATGACATGATCTTTAAAGTCGTGATACTCTCACCATAGAGCATGTGTATGATGTTCTATTTTCAGAAGAGAAGATGAAGCATTTGGTTTTTGAGGCCAAAGATGGAGAAAGTCTAGTTGCCCATGGTGGTTCTGGAAGGGGCGAATCGAAATCTAAATTTAGTAATCAAATTTATAACTTCTGCAAGAATATGGGGCACATTAAGAAGGATTGCTACAAATTGCAAAATAAAGAAAGGTTGGCTGCAAAACGATATGTAACGCAATCAGATATTTCAGGTGAGCAGACATCGTAGAGAACATTATAAATTGGGGAGATCTCTTGACTATTTTTGACATCGAGTCTAAATCAGAGGAGGATTGGATTCTGGATTTAGCGTATGTGTTTCATATGTATCCTAATAAGGACTTGTTTACTACATATGATGAAATCGTTTCAAAATATGTCATGGTTATGGGAAATAATGCTCATTATCGGGTTGTTAGAATTTGTATAGTTAGATTGAAGCTATTGGATGAGACAATTAGACCAGTTGTTCAGGTTCGATATGTTCCGGATTTGAAGAAGAATCTCATCTCGTTGGTTATCCTTGATTCAAAAGGTTATGAGTTTTTTGGTGGAGGTGGAGATTTGAAAGTTTGTAAAGGTGCTCAAGTTTATTGGATGGACATAAAATGTCTCAATTATACATCTTGTAGAGTCCTGCAGAATCTAGAAGAGTCAATCAACACAAGTTTAGTACCATGGTGGACATTCAGTTTGGTACAATACCTTCAGGAGCTCGTAAATGTCAGTTTTGAAGAATATAATTCAGTAAAGTTCAAGAGATATAGATAATGTCGCTTTGCTACATCACCTGCGGTGTCATTGTATTAAATTACTATGGACGGATCCAATGGAAAAAGGTATATGGATGGTGATTTTTTTTAGCAAGCTTTTAGTGTAGCGAAAGGTGTACAATCTAACAAGGGGTTTTCTTTAAAAGCATTTGAGTTTAATTCTGCATTGGGGTGTGTTACAGCCAAATTTGGTGAATTTTAAAACTATTATGATTTTCTGGGAATTTGAGGTAATTCTACGGAGTAGTGCTTGGATTCATTGGAAGAAGTAGAGTATTTTGTGTTTGGTTGAAGAAATCAATTTTGGTTATTGTTGAAGAGTCAGTTCATTCCTTGCAAACGGATTTTCTTCTCCAGGTGAAGAATATTTTAGAACTTTATTTGTTGCAGTGAAATTCGTGTCAATGTGGAGATTGTTAGAATTTGGATGTAACCCGAATTCCTTGTTAAAGTAATTGAAAAATTCTAATTGAAGTGCACGTCTAGAAGAATTCAGTTTGGAATGCTATTAGAGTCCTATGTCAAGTTGATTTTCTATTTTGGAAGCACATTGAGAGTTGGAAATTAAAATTGGGCTTGAAGAAAAGTTCAGGATGATGAAAACAGCTTGGAACAAAAAAAAAGAGAGAGAGAGAAAACGGGGCAGAATGCCTGGCGTCCATGTTCAATATTTTGTCACAGCGCCGCAACGCCACCTGTGTTTGTTTCGATTTTTCTCTTTTTTTTCTCCTTTTTCATTTTGGACTCGATTTTTTGGCATCCTACTTCATCAATAACTCTACTAAGAGGGTTTGGACGTTTCCTACATGTTCCCTATATATACTTGGCTCTTCTATACAATTTTATAGTATAAGAATAGTGTGAAAAAAATGATTACTAGCTTTGTTTTCTTGTCTCCCATTAATTCCTCTGCAATGTTTTCTTGATGTCATCAATATATGACACATGACCTTTACGTGCTCAATGGGAGATATTAATCTATAGAACCAATTCTTGGTTTGGGCTAACTAAAATTCAAGCATAGAAATCGGTAGGCAGTGGTTTATCTGCATGGCCTGGCCTCGCCTAATCCCTTCCTCTAATTTTGACATTATTTCTTAATTTAAGTAAATAAATAATAGTGGAATAAGAAATGCAAAGTTTTGTAGCACAATTGATGCAAACCGCTAATTCAGTGGACCCCTTGTAGAATAAATATCACAGCAAGATCCAGCCTTACAGAATGATTTTAGTCTTTAAATACATATATACTTTTTTCTCTAAAATGCTCATTCCCATTCTCTCCCCTTGTCGGGAGGAAAAATGAAAAAGAAAAAAAGAAGGAATTATTTACTCTAAAATACGTGAGGCATATTTGGTCCAATATAATAGTACTTATCCTAGTCTATCGATCAATTGAGGGACATACAAAGAAAGAAGGAAAAAAAAGTTATTCAAGCTATTTTTCATATATCGTTATTTATAAGTTATTCTAATTTTTTTCTTATTAAAAATAGTGCTTTATAAAGCGTAAATTGTCGTTCGGTGATAGGGCCAAATTTCACACCTAGGCAATGTCTAAATATACTTTTTAGAACACCGGTAAAAAAATATTCATAAGAAAACACATAAAATTTAAAATATATTTTCTTGTTTATACTATGGATGCAAGAGGATTGCAAACAGAGTTATTATAACTTTCTGTGATGTTTCTTTATTTATTAATTTATTAATATAAAAAAAACTTAATCAAGGACATAACTATTAGTTCCTCATTCTCATTTATATAAGCTAATTTTATTTTTCACACGAATCAACAAAACTTATTTAATATTATTGAAAAAATACATTTTTTTGTCAAAAACATTCATAGTAAATTATTGTTCGAAGTAATATAAAAATAAGGGTATATTAGTAAACGAACCAAACAAAACATCCTCAATAAAGAAATAAGACTGTATAATTGAGACAAGAAAATAAAGAAAATGAGCAGATATAAATGGTATCGAGGGAACATAAGTAAAATGATGTCTAGATTAATCCATTAAACATGCATATGTAGAATTGCATGTCCATATGGAAAAGGGAAATTAAAGATCATTACATAGAGTATAATTCCAATTGGTATCTTTTTCATTATGTGGGACCTTCATTAAATGTTTCTGATTGATGGGAATAAGAATTTAGTTGTAATTTTCAAAGATTAATAGTATACTACTCTACAGTGTATCATCGAGGTTCATTCTTGTCAAACCTAGTGCATTTAATATGACCCATTTGCCAAACTGTAGTGTGCAGTGTGAGTAGCTAAGAGCCTAAGATAATTATTGTCACCAAAAAGAACTTAGGTCATATGCATTTTGGTCCCTGAGGTTGAACTTTAATCTCAATTCTTTAATTTTAATTTTCCAAATAAAATTTCTTGATTTTTTTATGGAATATCTTACTTGGGAGATGAATGTGCTGTGAAATATTGCTAGAAAATGTCTATGAATGGGGACTCTGAAAATGGGACAGCAGATTTAGCCTCCTATGAATGTCATCGCACAACACAAATCGAGCAATAGTCAAAAAAAAATTACACAACTGGAAAATTGGACCTATAATGTCCAAATTTCCAACCGTTTCTTTGGGATAATACTGAAGGAACCAAATATGCTGTCAGAAATTCCCAACCGTTTCTTTGGTTCCGTCGGTTCTTTCCGACGTATACTAAGGGTCGTTGACATTTTTGATGAGAATAAAGAAGTCAAAAATTTGCGATGGAATTTAAATATAAATTCAAAGAATATGTTTAAACGACATATAGTCCAATCGGTACGTATCAATGTTATTGATGGACAATATTGACACAAAATAATTATTTGTGAATTAGTAGACATAAATAAACATATGCATTTTTCAGACACATTATAAAAACAGCAAAACACTGAAATTTCGAATTGGCGCAAGTGAAAATTCAATTAAAATCACAAATCAAAATCAACAATTAATTTTAATTACATATTTTATGGGACCCACAACTTTTAAACCACACATTTCATTAATTTTTATCAAAATCTACTAAAAAACTGATTTTAATCTCTATCAACATGAGCTTAATGTTAATGTCTATATCTTGAGTAGATAGGTAACTCAGTGGGTGTTTGGTAGGGATTAAAATTAGAATTTTAGTATACTATGATAGAAGTTTTTGAAATGTTTGGTTGAAATGCTGTGGAATCCATGGAAAATGTGGTTAATATTGATTGTTTGATTTTGATTTTGATTAAAATCAGATTTTAATTCGAAACAAACAGAGCCTAAATCTTCCTCAACAGTTGAACTTGTGAGAAATTCCACATTAGCATTGAAACGATGTAGTTGGTCGAGCTCTACAAGGATGCGTAGTTTTATCACTTCAATTCCATATAAATACTTTGACCAAAATATTTATAATTACTATCATCAATCGATTGTTTACGATTTGTGTATAATATGTAATGAAATTCCGCCGTATATAATAAATTAATATTTTGTGCTTATATCATTAGTAATAAATAGAAATGACAGTCGTTCGATTGCGAGAGTGTATGTTTTAAAATAAAATTCAATATATATGTATTGGCCAAAATATAGATGAAGAACACTTGCTATTGCCTGATTGATTGTCTACCTCCTGTATATGTGTTCACTTTATATACTAAGTATTTGATATGTGTTATAGAAACCCGCGGGGAATTACTCTTAATGAGAATATCAAGCTATCGATAGCTTATTTTCAATTATTTTTTTTCTTTATTTATGTGCTTCTTGTAGAGTACCGTTTGCATTATCTTGAACGAGTCTCTATGTAAAGACGAATATACAGAAACCAGTTTTCCAATCTACTCAGTGATGTTGTTCCAAGTTGTAAGTGTACTTGCTTGTCAATGAGGTCAAAATTCGAAGAATTCACTTATAAGTAAACTCAAAAAATGAGAATAATTTGATGAAGGTTATGAATTGTGATTAAGCAAGAAAATTAACTATTATTCAACCATCACCCCCAAATCAAGAAAGATTGATCACTACATCTTTCTGAAAAATTAATATAAGAAATTATGAATCCATATTTGAGCTCATGAATGAAACAAATGAATACACAAACTGTTTTCATAGATTTTGTATCTAAGAAAATTTGAACTTTTTTTAAAATCAGGATTGATTTCATGAAGGGTTTTATTGAAAGATTTATTCTCTTGCTTATTTTGTCAATGAATATATTTGTGAGAAAAGTATTTGAAATTCATTTAATAAGTGATCGTGATTCTAGAGGAATATCCTCTAACTCCACAAAAAGATATGGTATAAATAATTATGCAAGATAATTTAAATTAAAGACAATTTTTAGCGAGGAATTTATCCCCGGTACTTCAAGTTGCTTTTGTTTTAATCGTGAAAAATGCTATTCACTCTCACTGCTTACCCATAAGAAGTGATGTGACATTTGCGTAAGATGACATATAAATTGATGTTACTCAAGATTGGTATACATCGTTTATGAATTGGCTTTCTAACTACAGCATGTGAGGGAAATGCTTCCGGAACCAAAGTTAGTGAACAGAGAGGGCGATGTGCAGGTAAGTTTCTAGGTCCAAATATGATTCTCAGGCAAGGCTCAACAAAAGACATCTAGTTCCAGACCAAACCAGACCAGACTAGAACTAATCTAATCTAATACCTTCGTCCTCGGCCTCTAGTCGTTAATAGATATGGTTACTCGAGTCAATAGTTTCAAGGCCATTGTCTTTAAGATAGCACCTAAAGGCATCAAAATCAAGTGCTAATGGAGATCCAGTGGAAGTTACCCTCTCTAATTTAATCAATAACTAGATCTTGCACTAAAATTGGGAATGACAAGTTCTTGTTTTCTAGATTCGTTTTTTTAAAGAAAATTAGAAGAAGAAGATTGTTTGTCAAACAGCATATCTCGTTCAGAACAATGCTAATTAGTGCAGTGTGCATAACACCGTCTGTGGACTTGATAGAAAAAAAATT